CACAAACTTTAAAAATGTATAAAAGTAAAAAACAACAAGATATTGTTAAATCTTCATTAAAGTAAGTGTTCATTGTAAGAATGGTGGTGGTTATCGCCCACCACTCGTCGTCACTCTAGTTTAGAAAATATCCCATCAGGAAAAAACAATTGGCATTTTTCCCAAATTTGCTCCCTGAAATATTCATCTGGATTTGTGAAAATTTACCACCATCTGATTTGTTGGCACTGGCACAAACATGTTCAAGATTTCATTTTATCTTAATGGATAAATGTGATGAAACCCAACAAATTTGGAAAAAAGCAAGAACAGCTTATTTTGAAAGAATGCAACGACCTCCCCCACCAAATTGGAATGAATTAGAATATATTAGATTCTTCCTTGCTTCACCTCAATCCTGCATATTTTGTGGTATTGTTGAATCAACTGAAGTACATTGGCAGTTTCATGTAAGATGCTGTACTAGATGTTACAATGCAAGAACCACTACAAGAGAGTAAGTAATTATATAAAGTTTAATTGATTAAATAATCATATTTATTCATTTATTTATTTAACAAAAAGAATATTAGAGATGATAGTTTCTATGTTATTTTTATTTCAGAAAGATGGAATTAATGTACAGTTCTGGCAAAAAGATATTGATGCGAATTTTAGAAAATATGGATTAAAATCTGTTAAAGCTTATGATGATGAAGAAGGTAAAAAAATGCTTGAAGTTCAAAAAAAATTCATGGAAGAATGTGAAGATCGCAATAAAACATTAAGAAATTAATAATGGTAATGGACATAAAATAAAAAGACCTTGAACTAATAATTGACTTCAAAAATCTATCAAATTAATGGAGATCTGTTAAATCTTATTATAAAAAAATTACTTGTGTGTAAAAAAAAATTAGTATTTTTATTATGCATATGTATATATGTATATATATATATTAATTAAATTATAAATAAAAAATTAAATTTCCTTTTGCATCTTCACTACATGAAACATTTTTATAGATTATAAATGATTGATGGACAGACAATGGTAAATTAATTATTGATCCAGTTATTTATCACTTCACATTCATCATATCAAATTTTTTTTAATATTACTGTTTCTGTTGAGAAATTTTGGACATTTTTTCAATTAAAAAAAATAACCCCCATTTATTCAATCAGTAAAAATTTTTATGATAATAACAAGCTCACAACTGAGAATGCAATACGGGCTTATGGTTTTACAAATCGCACATACCATGTTACGCACGAACAAAAATTCATTTATTTTAAGTTGGGTTTGGGATTGCATCTTCTTTGTCGCAAAGAGCAAAAAAATGACATCACTCAGGCCAAGACACAGTAGTCTATTTTGTAAACCCATAACATATAAATAGGACAGCCGTTTTTTTGAAAAACTTGGATCTTAATCTTTATTGTCATCCTCAAAAAATTGTGATTCATTGTTGTTTACTACCTGTTGCCATAATAATAATGCTTCTCATAATTGATGGATTTCATATATTACAAATGTAACCAATTAACAAATTTTATCTCTCTTTTTTCTTTTTTGGCTGGAACCATGAATCCGCTGTGGCGAGGTTTGACTGTAATCATTTAGCATCTATTAAGTGTATAATAATAAAATTCAACAGGTGCGTGATTATTTTGTAAGTAAAGAACGATCGAATTTACCAGTTAAAAATTCTTAATTTTAATGGTTAATTAAACGGTTAAAGAATTTTTGCACGGTGCCAACCTCTAAACCCGCCTATATGTTTATTGAATAATTGATAAAACGTTCATTTTGTAAACTCAATTTGCAAGTTCATAGATCTTGTCTAACACTTACTTTGATCAAATCCTCCTATATGATCATTGAATAATTGATAAAGCGTTCATTAAATATATTTTACAAACAGCTTCATAGATCTCGACTTTAATACTTACTTTGACCAAACCCACCTATATAATTATTGAATAATAAAACATTCATTTTGGAAAACTTTATTTGCAAACAGATCTTGACTTTAGCACTTATTTTAATCAAACCTATCTATATTTGAATTATTAATAAAAATTCATTAAAACAACTTCTCGGATCTTGCCTTTGACATTTATTTCAATCACTCCTATACAAAATATTGAATAATTGATAAAACATTCATTTGCAAAACTTGATTTGCAAACTTCTTGAACTTGTGTTTAACACTTACTTTGATTGCGCCTATACAAACTATTGAATAATTGACAAACGTTCCATAACTTTTATTGTGTAAAAAAATAAAAATTCAAAATAAATTAAAATAATTCAATAGAATAAAATTTGTCCAATGAAATGTTGTAAACTGTATATATCCCATGCACAACTTGAAATATAAGGCTCATTTTCCATTACTAGTACTTGTCTCGGGGTAAGACATGCAATGGCGAGCCCATGTGACTCGCTTAAATGTGTTATTAA